ATACTGGAACCTTATAGGCTCCACTTTGGAGGATCATTTGGATTCAGACACCAGATACACGAGGATGAGCCTTGGAGCGTGACTTCTTCAGCTAAGTGCTCGGAGTATAGTGGGGGGAGGGAGGGAGAGGGGAAATGATGGGAATCCGACCCAAACGAAGAGATCGATGGGTGCAAGTGTGGCATGAAAACGGACTCAGAACCAAAGCTGTTTGTTGGTAGAAATCCTGCTACGTTTGGAGACACCGTGATGAACATGTGGTGTGTTGTGGCAGCACGAAGCCATGACGGTTCTAGATAGTGTGGAATGTAAGAACAGCTAGCTTAGCGGCCGCAGCGATGACAGGATGGTATTAGGACCAACACTTTACACGGCAGGAAGTGCAAAAATACTCTGAGACTCTGGCCGAGGGAAAGAATGCGAGGTCCATGCTGCAGAAAAAAAAAAAGAACGACATTTACACAGCGCAAAGTCATAGATAACATCAGTGAGTGATCGCTAATAACGCTAGCAGTGACGGTATGCAGGTCATCCTGACTGCCGCGAACTGCTGATGAGGTAAAAGTGTATTAGTCATGTCCGTAAATCACATCATATATCATTATATACACTTGGGTACAGAGTGTATTCTGCATCATACCCCCCCCACCACCCACCACCACCACCCTACCCCCCAGTGGTTTAGCTAATGTGTTATTTTTATCTTATCTTCCAAACTTTTCAAAATGGAGTCCTTCTGTTCTGTACTCTCCTTGTTGTTTGAGATGTTTTATATGATGTAAAAAAAATACAAATAAAAATGTCAATATTTGAGCTTTTCTTTAAAAACAAAAAAAAGACGAATCATTGAATCAAGCGATAATTGATGATTCGATTATTACGATAAGACACGACAAGACACGACATGGTTCCGTACGTCGACCGGTGAGCCGGGTAACACTCGCTGGCCGTGACCCCTGACCTTCTGTCCTTTCCCTGACCCGTATAAAAGAGTACACCGACATGGACGTTCTCTCAGAGGGCTTCCCCCATCATCTGCTGCTTCAGCTGCTGCGCTCTCCTCGGAGCCGGACGCCGGTGATGCCCAAAGCTCCAGACAAACACGCCGGCTGTGCTGCCTCTGTTGCCATGGCAACCGGAGGCAGGCGCTGATGGGTGAACGGTGAGCAAATTCTTGTTCGGGTTTTATGCATGTGCGTGCGCGCGCGCGCGTGTGTGTGTGTGTGTGTGTGGTTATATTATTACTACTTTTTCACATTTTTACTGGCGAGGCGTCGTCCAGTGTTTCAGATCGATATCGCCTGCGAGCGATGCTTGGTATCGTATCGTATCGTATCGTATCGGCGCGTCCTTATTCAACACTCGCAGGTTGAGGGCAGAAAAGAACGTGTGTGTGTGTGAAAGCAACCTGAATTTCCCCGAACAGCATGAGACTCATCAGCAGAACTGCTGGTAAACACCAGGAGAAGGGGGGAAAATAAAGGGAAATGACCGAGGGCTACGTTGCGGCTTCTCCGGATCCTTTTGTGGAATAAAAGTGTAACGACTGACACCTTTACATCGACTGAAAGAAATACGATGAAGATGAAAACGCCTCTTCGAAGCCTCTTCTGCTAATTATTGACACGCCACAAGGGTGGAAAGACGACGGAGGTAAGCGAGACCATCTCTGTGGCTTTAAATCCTTCCCTTGTGCACCAGGGATGACATCATCCTCGAAAAAACCCATTACGTCATCCCTTCAGGGAGCCTCCTCCCCTACCCCACCCTGCTCCCTCTCACCCCCTTCCTTCTCCTCCTCCTCTTCCTCCTGCACCTCCTAGATCCCACCCTCCCCCCCGACGCCTGATTGGCTCGCATCAGTGTGAAGACCCTCCTCGTCTTGGCTCTGATTGGCCGAGAGAATCCGCTGGTGTCTTTGTGTTATTGGGATGCTTGAACACACACACACACACACACACACACACACACTTAATGCTCACAGCACCATTATCCTCATGCACAATTCACTGAGTGGTGTGTGTATGAAGGATTCGGGGGGGAAATAAGGAATGTTTCACAATATCTACCTAATTGTCTTTGGAGAGAGAGAGAGAGAGAGAGAGAGAGAGAGAGAGAGAGAGAGAGAGAGAGAGAGAGAGAGAGAGAGAGAGAGATGTAAGGAGTTGCAATACCATTGGGAGTCGCTAGAGGGAGACATGAACCAGGTTGCCAAAGCGTGGATTTTTCCTCCTGATTCAAAAACTCGTTTACAGCAGGATTTTGCTGAGTTCAACTTAACTTGGAAGTAGGAAAGTGTACCTCGGAATTACGTCATTGTCGTGGGAATAAAAACATGGACGCCTTGATGCTCTTTCGCTAGCAACGAGCTATCCAGCTAACTCTGATGAGTGATGTATAATCCCCCCTCAAAGCCGTGAATTAAACCACACACACACACAAAAAAAACAACAACCCACAAATATTCCTTGATCTTAAGCAAATCCTAGTTTATACTGACTTTCTGAGCAGGATTTCCGATTTGTTTTTGTTCGGGGTTTTTTTTTTTCTCTTCCCCCTAGTGAAAGGTCGGAATCGGGTTCGGGTTGCGAGTGTTTAGTCAAACGTAGCGTTAGAAACTTTACAGGGAAGAAAAACTAACAGGGGAAAATGAACGAAAATGTGGATTTGAACGGAACAAAATCGGAAACACAAAACAAACTGGTCGATAACGTTTACGACAACGGCTTGTATTTTCTCATTCCTGAGTCGCTTTGGATAAAAAGCGTCTGCTAAATGAATAAATGCAAATAACGGCAATTTTTCTGGTGAAGTGTGATTCCAAGAAGTGACTCCTAACACCCGATCCCGAAAGGAAACGCCCCCCTCGACTTCCTACAGAGGAACTCCGCTCATAGCAGCAGCACTTCTTACCTTTTTAAATGAGTTCTAGTGTACAGCAGTGGTCACCAACCTTTTTAAGCCCAAAGATCCCTGACCTTCACCTTGATGAAAGGAAACATCTAAATGTCGAAAGTATTGATAGAAAAAGACAGCCCAGATTCCAACTTGAGGCCTTTTGAAGACCGATCTCCATGTCAACTCCACTTGACAAAGCAAATACTTGCTGGAATTTGGCTGCAACCTGTTCTATATCGACGGGCATGAATGGGTTTGAGACGAACGCAGCTGTACTGCCAGGCTCTGGGTTACTGATCAGAAGATCACGGGTTCGAGCCCCAGCACTGCCAAGCTACCACTGTTGTGCCTTTGAGCAACTTATTTCTTAAAGCAAGAAGTTGGTTTTGAAGTGAAGAATCCATGTGTTTACCAAAATTTCTAGCAAGAGCTCAGACAAAATAAAGCAGAATTGTGAGGAGTCGGGAAATAGATATGAAGGAAGCAGGTACGGATGGAACTCGCTTTTATTGCTGTAAATATCACTGAGAACAAAAAATGCATGGGCAGGAAAACAATGGAGATCAGTGATTGGTTGCCATGATCAATGGTGATCAGTGATTGTATGACGGGATCAATGGAGATCACTGATTGGTTGACGGGATCAATGGTGATCAGTGATTGGTTGCCATGATCAATGGTGATCAGTGATTGGTTGACGGGAGCAAAGGTGATCAGTGATTGGTTGCCATGATCAATGGTGATCAGTGATTGGTTGACGGGATTAATGGTGATCAGTGATTGGTTGCCATGATCAATGGTGATCAGTGATTGGTTGACGGGATCAATGGTGATCACTGATTGGTTGCCATGATCAATGGTGATCAGTGATTGGTTGACGGGATTAATGGTGATCAGTGATTGGTTGCCATCATCAATGGTGATCAGTGATTGGTTGTCTGGATCAATGGAGATCAGTGATTGGTTGCCGTGATCAATGGTGATCAGTGATTGGTTGCCGTGATCAATGGAGATCAGCGATTGGTTGTCTGGATCAATGGTGATCAGTTGTCAGGAAGACACTGTACAGCATGGCTCAACCACACTCAAGCCAATCAGGACAGCCAGGAACCTTGGGGTGATACTTGAGGACAGCTTGACCTTCATCTCAACAGCTGCACGATCCGGTAGGTTCATTCTGTACAACATCAAGAACATCCGATCCTACATCACCAAGGAGGTCACACGGATACTAGTCCAGACTCTTGTTATCTCAAAACTGGACTACTCGAACTCACTACTCTTGGGCCTCCTGGCAGCTCCATCAAACCTCTACAAGTGATTCAGAATGCTGCAGCGTGCCTTGTCTTCAACCAGCCCAAGAGAACCCATATCACACCCCACACATCCCCACACATCTACCTCCACTGGCTTCCTTTAGCCACCCGCATCAAATTCAAGACCTTGATGCTCACGTACAAGACCTTGTCTGGAACAGCACCCCCTATCTCAACTCTCTCCTGAAGGCTTACATTTCCTCAGTGTGGCACAAGGTCCCTTTTCAGAACCTTCACACTAACTGTTCCTCAGTGGTGGAATGAACTTCCAACCTCAATCTGGACCACAGAATCTCTCACTATCTTCAAAAAACAGCTAAAGACAGCTCTTGCATGAACACCCTAAGCATAAAATAAATAAAAATAAAAATTTACTCTGTGCACTTTCCTTCTTCTGGAACTCAATTAATGGATCTTGTACAGTAGCACTCTATAGAACTCAAGCAGATATATCTCTGCTTGATATATCACTTTGCTTGTATTTTCTCATTTGTAAGTCCATCCATCCATCTTCAACCACTTATTCCTGCTTCAGGGTCACGGGGAACCTGGAGCCTATCCCAGGAAGCATCGGGCACAAGGCAGGGTACACCCTGGACAGGGTGCCAGTCCATCGCAGGGCACAATCACATACACACTCACACACCCATTCATACACTACGGTCAATTTACCAAGCTGCCAATTTACCAAGCTGCATGTCTTTGGACTGGGGGAGGAAACCAGAGTACCAGAGTACCCGGAGAAACCCCCGCAGCACGGGGAGAACATGCAAACCCCACACACATGGCCCCAGCGGGAATCGAACTCCGGACCCTGAAGTTGTGAGGCGAACATGCTAACCACTAAGCCACCGTGCGCCCTCATTTGTAAGTCACTTTGGATATAAGCATCTGCTAAAAGAATAAATGTAAATGTAGGAAGAACGGTGATCGGTGATTGGTTGTCAGAAAGAATGGTGATTGGTCATTGGGCAGAAGGTTGGTCAGTGATTGGTTATCGGGAAGAATGGAGCACTGATAGGTTGTCGGGAAGAATGTTGAGCTGTGGTTGGTGGGATGAATGGTGTTTAGTGATTGGTCATTAGGAAGAAGGTTGGTCAGTGATTGGTTATCGGGAAGAATGTTGATCTGTGGTTGGTTGATGGTTGTTGGGACGAATGGTGATCAGCGATTGGTCATTAGGAAGAACGGTGATCGGTTGTTGGGAAGAACGTTGGTCAGTGATTGGTTATCAGGAACAATAGTGGTCAGTGATTGGTTATCGGGAACAATAGTGGTCAGTGATTGGTTATTGGGAAGAATGGAGAGCAGTGATTGGTTGTCGGGAAGAATGTTGATCTGTGGTTGGTTGTTGGGACGAATGGTGATCAGCGATTGGTCATTAGGAAGAACGGTGATCGGTTGTTGGGAAGAACGTTGGTCAGTGATTGGTTATCGGAAACAATAGTGGTCAGTGATTGGTTATTGGGAACAATAGTGGTCAGTGATTGGTTATCGGGAACAATAGTGGTCAGTGATTGGTTGTTGGGACGAATGGTGATCAGCGATTGGTCATTAGGAAGAACGATGATCGGTTGTCGGGGGAATTAGTTTTAGATTAACTAGGCTCTTTAAATAAAAAATTGAAAACAAAGTTGCGAAAGGGGTCTCAAAAGTCGTCGCAGCACATCCTTCAAATCGGAATAACAGGAAGTTTTCCCATCCTCCCGAATTCTCCCACGTGACCTGAATGCGATCTAATCTGGGTTATTTATGACGTTGGAATAATCAGTGTCGGTTTATACAGAACAGGGGGGATTTAAACCGGACTTGAGTGTCGGCCCAATCTGGCAACCCGTGATGGAGAGTGAGAGTGAGTATGTATGTGTTAGTGTGTGTGTGTGTGTGTGTGTGTGTGTGAGAGAGAGAGAGAGAGAGAGAGAGAGAGAGAGAGACTGGGATTGTCTGTAGTCGCCCTGTCCTTACATATGTAAGGTTGAAGGGAATTAAATTGGGGTTGATCTCTCGGATGGATCTGAGCGGATGTGACTGAAGGCGCACCGGCGATGACCAGGGTGAGAACCGGCGGATAACGGCGCGCGCATCCGTGCCTTATTTTCCCCTCACTCAATCCGTGCGCGCGCGCGCGCGCGCGTGTGTGTGTTATTATCGGCCAGCTGTGAGGAGGAGGAGGAGGAGGAGGAGAGGAGAGGAGGAGGGGGGAGGCGGAAGGATGCTGAAGGGAAATAACGGGGAGGAAGGAGTGATGCAATGGCTGCGACGTCGTCGGTAAAATATTCAATCATTTTATTGCAAAGTGTCCTCTTCCTTTTCTTCTTCATCTTCTTCTTCATCTTCTTCTTCACGTGTGAGCGTGTAATGGTGGAAGAGACGCCACAGCATCCGTGTGCTCCATAAACACCACCCCGGTGATGCTGAGCTGGAGAAGATGTGGTTATGCATCGCGTGCGTATTTGCGTTCAGAGATGTATTTATTTGTTTATTTTACATCCCTTCTTCTTCTTCTTCTTCTTCTTCTTCTTCCTCTTCTTCTTCTTCCTCTTCCTCTTCCTCTTTCACCTCCACGCCATTTTGGAGCATGACGACTGAAATGTGATCTTTTGTAAATGTGACATCTCTGCATGCGTTTACTCATCTCCTCCCTGTCTGTCTGTCTGTCTGTCTGTCCGTGCGTGCGAGCGTGCGTCTGTCCGTCTGTCCGTCTGTCTGCACACGCGCGCGCGCGCGCTCGCTTCTTGCATCTTTGCATCTCGCCTCCATTACGAGCCTGATGGCTTCTGCACGCGCGCGGACGCGTGCACGTTTATTTATATGATTCGGACATCGGCAACAGATACACGAGGCTTTTCACTGCGAAGAGAAATCAGAGGGATTTTGATTTATTTTTATTTTTATTTTGAAGGGGAGAAAGACAACGCTATTGGTAAATCACCCGAGAGAGAGAGAGAGAGAGAGAGAAGCGAGCAGAAAGAGAGAGACAGGGGTGAGAGAGAGAGAGAGAGAGAGAGAGAGAGAGAGAGAGAGGGAGAGGCAGGCAGAGAGAGACAAGGAGTGAGAGAGAGAGAGAGAGAGTGAGAGAGAGAGAGAGAGAGGAGAGAGAGAGCGAAAGAGAGAGACAGGGGTGAGAGAAGAGAGAATTAGAGAAGAGAGGGAGGAGAGAGTGAAAGAGAGAGAGAGAGACAGAGAGGGAGAGAGAGACAGAGGGTTAGAGAGAGAGAGGGAGAAAGAGAGAGAGTGAGAGAGACAGGGAGAGGGAGAGAGACAGGGGAAGAGTGAGTGAGAGAAAGGGAGAGAGACAGAGAGGAGACCAAAATAGATATGGATTTGTGTTCTCGGGGATGAGTTTGATCTCCTCCGCCTCGACTGCGGCCTGCTTTCAAATCAGGAAAAGAAAAGGCCCTAAAAATCCTTAAAGCATTCTGACTGTAAGAGTCTTTATCTGGAACTCAATTCTCTCTCTCTCTCTCTCTCTCCTCTTCTCTCTCACTCTCTCCTGTCTCTCTCTCACTCTCACTCCTGTCTCTCTCCTGTCTCTCTCTCTCCTCTCTCTCTCCCTCTCTCTCTCCCCCTCTGTCTCTCTCTCTCTCTCTCCCTCTCTCTCTCTCCCTCTCTCTCCCCCTCTGTCTCTCTCTCTCTCTCCCCTCTCTCTCTCTCTCTCTCTCCCCTCTGTCTCTCTCTCTCTCTCTCTCTCTCTCCTGTCTCTCTCTCTGTCTCTCTCACTATCACTTCTCTCTGTCTCTCTCCCCCCTCTCTCTCCTGTCTCTCTCTCTCTGTCTCTCACACTATCACTCTCTCTGTCTCTCTCTCCCCCTCTCTCTCTCCCTGTCTCTCTCTCCCTGTCTCTCTCTCCTTCTTCTCTCTCTCTCTCTCTCTCTCTCTCTCTCTCTCTCTCCCTGTCTCTCTCTCTGTTCTCTCACTCTCTCTCTCTCTGTCTCTCCCCCCCTCTCTCTCCCTGTCTCTCTCTCCCTGTCTCTCTCTCTCTCTCTCCCTGTCTCTCTCTCTCTCTCTTCTCTCTCTCTCTCTCTCTCTCTCTCTCCCTGTCCTCTCTCTGTCTCTCTCCTCTCACTCTCTCTCTGTCTCTCCCCCCTCTCTCCCTGTCTCTCTCTCCCTGCTCTCTCTCTCTCTCTCCCTGTCTCTCTCTCTCTCCTTCTTCTCTCTCTCTCTCTCTCTCTCTCTCTCCCTGTCTCTCTCTCTGTCTCTCTCTCTCTCACTCTCTCTCTGTCTCTCCCCCCCTCTCTCTCCCTGTCTCTCTCTCCTGTCTCTCTCTCTGTCTCTCTCACTCTCACTCTCTCTCTCCCCCCCCTCTCTCTCCCTGTCTCTCTCTCCCTGTCTCTCTCTCTCTCTCTCCCTCTCTCTCTCTCTCTCCTTCTTCTCTCTCTCTCTCTCTCTCTCTCTCTCTCTCCCTGTCTCTCTCTCTGTTCTCTCTCTCTCTCTCTCTCTCACACACACACACACGAGAGCCTACATGCGTTTGTACACACTTCCCATGTTAGGGTTCACACATTTTTCACGTGATTCCTCACATGAATCATTTTCCTCCAAATGATTCATCTATTGCAACTCGTGATTTCCTGCATGATGCATTATACACGTGATCTTTTTTTTTTTTTTTCACGTGATTCGTCACATGAATACCCCCCCACACACATGATTATTTTATTTTTGCACGGTTTATGAAATGATTCATTTCTAAACAATTTCCCCCCCATGTGATTCCTCACATGAATCATTGTTCCTCCACACGATTCTTGTATTTTCACACGTGATTCCTCACATAAATAATTTCATCCCACATGATTCATCTATTGCGATTATCTCACTTGTGATATCTTACATGATTCGTTATCCACGTGATCTTTTTTATTTTCACGTGATTCCTTCAATGAATCATTTTTTTTCCACGAGACTTTTATTTCCACATATCATTTCTCACGTGATCGATTTTCATGGGGTTTTTTTTTTACGCGATTCTATCTTAACGCGAGTTTTCCCAAGATTCATTTTTCACACGTGATTCCGCACACGAATCGTTTTCTGTATCGTTTTTACCGCACATGAATGTTTTTTTCCCCCCACGTGATTATTTTATTTTCACACGGTTTCTCACGAGGTTTACCAAAGGATTAATTGTTTACATGTTTTTTATTTTATTTTCACGTGATTCCGCACATAAATAATTTTCCCCCGTGTAATTCATCTATTGCAACTTGCGTGATCTCTTGCGTGATTCATTATGCACGTGATCTTTTTATTTTCACGATTCCTCACATGAATCATTTTTTTTTACGTGATGACTCAGTTTTCACGTTTGATTTCCGCACGATTCTATTTGAACACGTGCGTTTTCCCAAGATTCAAATTTTTCCACCTTCATTCATTCATGTTCACGTTTGATGTTGTTCACGATTCATTTATTTTTCATGTCACGTGATTCATGTGTTTTCACACTTGATTTTTCCACATGAATCATTTTTCCTCCACATGATTCTTTTATTGAAGCTTGTGATTCCTTGCATGAATCATCATTGATTTTTTCCTTTTAGTCTTTTATGTTCACGTATAATTTCTCACGTGATTGATTTTCATATGATTTTTTATTATTATTATTTTTTTTTTACACGATTTTATTTTAACGCGACTTTTCCCAAAGATTCTTATTTCACCTTGGGCTTTTATTTTCCAATTTGATGAGTCATTTAATTTCACACGACCCCACCCTAACCCCACCCCACCCCACCCCACCCCCCCATACGATTCATGTATTTTCACGTGCTTTTATTATCCCTCGTGTGACTTCCTCGTGTAATTGTCACATGATTACGTATCGTTCGCATGTGGTTGTGCGTTTACTCGAGTCCC